TTCTTGAACAGTAAAGTATGAAAATGTCTTTTTAGTTTACGATGCAACCCAGCTTTATATTTATAGACCCATATTTCATACTCCTATCAGCATGTTGCCACTGACAGACTTTTCATTTGATGTTTTCTTTTGTTTAGTTGATTTAAGAAAAGATGGCAGAACAATTTGTCTGCTGCACTAAATTATCTGCATTTACTGTTCTCATTTTTTTTACTCCTAATTCTAACAGGAAATGCATCAACAGTCTTTTATGAGCTTCGATAACTTTAGGCTACAAAAGAACTGGGACCCTCTTTTTAAACTATTGTTTGAATCTCGGAGAGATGAACCATGTTTTTTTTGTGTGTGAATGTGTGTCAATAATTTCTACTTTTTCACATTGTGTGAATGTTTATGAAGCATTCACAATATTGTTATCCATTTTTCTTCCGTACGTTATTCGGCGCAATTCTCGTCCTGCGGTTTTCAAGCTATTTAAACAAATCGTATATCAAAATGTTCAGCTGTTTTAGGACAATGCTGCTATGACTTTTGGTGGTGCAATTTTAGCTTTTTGAAATATTTAGCTATTTCTGCCATTTTTTTCCTCTCAGAAAATTAATTGAGCTCATTTTACATCCTTCAAAATTAGATCTGTTTACAACCTTTTACTGCTCCTTTCATATTTTGTTCTGGTTCAGATTCTTTCAGCTTCCTTGTGCAAATTTAAATTTCTTTTTGCTACTTACAGCTAATTTCAGCTGGATTTTTTTCCCAGATTCTTTCAGCTAACTACACAATTTTTGTGCTTCTTCTAACTTCTTTCTGCTAATTTCAGCTTGTTATGCTCCTTTCAGCTTATTTCTGCAAGTTTCTGCTTTTTCTGCTATTTCAGCTACTTTTTAGCTGTTTTTATGCTAATTTTTGTATTTTCAGCTAATACCACATTTTTGTTGCACTCATTTCAATGTTTCTCAGCCTAATTCAGCAAAAATGTGCTCTCTTCGCTTCCTTCTGGTAATTTGTTTTTTTTTGGCCTTTCTTAAAGTTATTTTTCAGCCTTTTTTTGTTGTTGATAATTTCAGTTTTTTTCAGATAAACTCAAGTTTTTTGTGGCAATTTCTGCTACTTTCAGCCTAATTAACTTATTTATGCTAATTTCAACTCGTTATGCTCCTTTCAGCTTTTTTTCTGGTAGTTTTAGCTTTTTCTGCTATTTCAGCTACTATCGGAATCATAATCAGCTTTATTGTCATTGCACCGAAGCACAACAAAATTACATTTCCGTACAGTCTGTCCAAGTAAAACACAAACGAACAGACAAGGAGATGGAGGGGTCTGAGGCTGCGGCCTCATGGGAGGTGCCGCCTTTTTCGTTGGATAAGAAAAAGAGAAACATGAGAGAAGAGGAGGTTTAAAAAAATCCTATCACATTGTGTCCTAGATGGGACACAGTGTAAAAGTTGCAAAAAAAAAAAAAAAACCTCAGCACAGAAATAGCAACGTACTGATAACTATTACTATAAACTGTTTTATGCTATTTTTAGCTTTTTCAGCTGATTCCACTTTTTTTTTACCTTATTTCAGCTTTTTCCACCTCCGTAGTTCAAGCTTCTTTCTGCCTTTTCAGCTACCTTTCAGCCATTTTTTTTTTGCTAATATTTTATATTTTAGCTGATTTCCTGTTTTTCTGCATATTTTAAACTAATTCAGCGAATGTGTTCTTTCTGCTTTCTTCTGCTAATTTAAGCTTGTTCTTCCATTACAGCTACAATTCAGCATGCATTTTTTTAAAGCTAATTTTAGCTGTTTTTCTGCAAGTTCTTCTGCAATAAGCATTCACACTGCATTTTTGCAGATGTAATTTCTCCAGTTAGATTTTCGGATACTTTTTAAACGTCTGATTTTGGGTGTTACTCCAAAACCTAATGCAAATAAAACAACAAAGAAAATCAGAAAAAAATATATATATATTTTTAACTTACTGCTTATATAAGTGATTAACTTTTAATCGGCTAACTTAAAATCTGATTGGTGTTTATGACGAGCTGCTTTCCTTTTCCTTTTACTGGTCTTCTGTCTTCTGATCAAGCCCAACATTTTGGTAGCAAGCCAAGTGCGTCACAGTGAGCATCATAAAGTCTGAAAATCACTGATTTAAACAGAAATACAATGTTTTTGAAGCAACAAGAGAGGGACTCAACCATGTTATTTTAACATCTGTGACAGTTTTTACTTATTAACGTTACTCCTGCATGATACACAGAATAGCTGGAATTTTCTTTCTTCGTTGATCTTCTAAAGGAGATCATATGATTTGAACTAAAGCACGGAAGTTTTGCTCTAGCTCAGTATTCTCACTTTGTTCTGCATGAAACACGGTTCAACATTTATCTGAGCAGATTGAAGGTTAAACTGTTTTGAGCGCTATCAAATCAGCCAACAGCTCTCTGCTTTGTGAAGTTTTGTTTGTTCTCTTTACCAGAGAAAGAATTTAATCTCCTGCTGTGTGTCGCCGTAATTTGAGCTGCTCACTTCCATACTCCTGGTGCACAGAACAGCCGTTTGTTCATCGGTTCATCTCCTGCACCAAGAGCTCTTCCTCCGATGTACAAACAGTTCTCATTTGTTTAAAAGCTTCTTCTAAAGTGAGGGATCAAACCCAAGTCTAGATTGTTCCGAGTGATCTAAAATAGTACGCTGGTAAACTATTTATAATACAGTCAATTTGGTTTTGAACTTGGTTCTGTTCATTTTGAGCTTTATTTGCTGTTTTATTGTAACACTTGTTAGATTTTTGTCATATTTTAGGGATGATAATAATGACAGAAGGCTGATAGTTGGATTGTTTTATGACTGTTTTATATAATCTGACATGTTTTACTATTCCTGCACAAGCCATCAGTTTCTAATCTCCATATTTCCTTAAAATACTTCACTGTTTGACATTAAAATTTGCACCAGTGAGCAGTCGGGCTCAATCTTTCGTCAATGCACTGTTAGTGTTAAATATTCGCATGTTTCAAACAAATGTGTATGTTTAAGAAGGGGACTTGCCGTTTTTAGCCAGAGCAGACTTGTCTTTCTTCATAAACGGTTGCCTGGACAGGTTTATTTTAGTGTCTGCTCACAGTGAAGGCAAGCTCGCTTTAATGTCTGGATAATAAAATGTGAGCGGTGATGCAAATGAAGTCCACGATTATGGCTTATTAAATCAACATGTTGGTTAGGGGTGGAACGGTGGCTCAGTTGGTAGAGCTGCTGCTTCTCAGTGAGAAGGTTGCTGGATCGAATCCCCGCCAGGGGCCATTCTGGGTGGAGTTGGGTTTTCTTCGAGTACTCCAATTTCCTCCCACAGAACAAAACATGCATGTTGGTCAGATTAGTAACTCGAAATTGTCCCTAGATGTGAGAAAGTGAATGGTTGTTTGTCTCTGTGTCCCTGTGATGGACTGGAGACCGGTCCAGGGTGTCCCCCGCCTCTCACACAGTGACTGCTGGATATGGGCGCCATATCACCAAGAAGTGGGTAAAGATGATGGAACATGTTGGTTAAAAAATCGTGAAAACTTTATGCTTATTATTGTTGGCCACTTAATCATATTTTTGTCTCAGTGTGTGTTTGCTTGCTTCTCTGTTGCCAAATTATCTCATAAACCAACAAACAAAACTGAATGAAACATATAGAAATTAATTATTGGATGTATCTGTACACTGATTAACTTTTGAAGCCACAGCAGTTCAAGATGGCTGCCAGAGCCAACTGTCCATCCATCCTTCTATTATCTTTTAACAACAATAAAAAGGCTCTAACTCACTGAAATTTACAAATGTGATAAAATTTGGTGCAGTAGTCAGTCATTTGGTACATATGCTCCAAATGCTACTCATTGTTAAAAATGTTTGCTTAGATCTTTAGCAATACCTGTTGGAGTCGACTCTGCTCGTCTGTTAGCAAAATATCTCATAATCCGCTGGATGGATTTCAATGAAACTGTCAGAATGGAGTTCAATGATTTGTCAGAAAGTAGTCACTGGATGTATGTCCACAACATTTGGTTCAGTTCAAGATGGCCTTCACAGCTGATCAACATTTACAAACACAAAAATGTCTGTCAGTCAGTCAATTTAACAGATATTGGCCTAAGATTTGATTTGGTAGTAGCTGAGAATACTTTCCACGTCCATGAAAATGTTTTCTTATGTGCAGCTTTAAGTGATGTTTCTGTACAGTTGGAAGTCGGTGCATCGTACAGCTCTAAAACAGTAGCTTTAATCATCACAGTGGTTTCGCTGAGGTCAGCATTTATGGCTGCGCTCCATAATTCATCAGAAGAACACAGACTTCAAGACGTGAATAAACCTTTCCTGGATTCCCAAATGACAGAGGAACACGAGAATTCTCCTTGGACGGCAGACCTGTATTTTACATCAACGGAGCTTCCTCAGTTTGAAGGACTTGCAGATGTGTTGGGGGGACTTCAAGCCCGACTTACTTCCATCTAACGTACTACAACATCTGGGGAAGTTTTCTTGGCTTTCTCACCTGCTCAGAAAATTTATTGGAAGCCGTCATCGCTATTCGCTGCGCTTATTTTGCTTACAGATGGCCTTTGAGACTTTATTTTGGGGTTGTACTACAAATAGGTTTACAGTGAGCTGTAAATTGATATGAGGAGGAGCATTTATACACCATTTCTGGCTACTGTAAAATAAACTCTTTTTTTTAAAGGTATTAATCAGTTTGTTTTACAGAAGCAGTGAACAATCTCAAGGATTACAGAAAATTACTTGGAACATTTTACTCCACTGCTTCCAATCAAGAATATCACTAACGGTTCCAAACACGTTATCCATAAAAAACAAAGATCTACTAAAATCACTCCTCTGAATGAAGATACTGTAACACTCTGAGGAGCTCATAATCAGTGTGTGATTTGGCCTTGGGGGGATTATAGTGAAGACGAAGTGTCTGTGTGGTTTCATAAATTTATTTTTCTTTTTCCTCTGTCTCGCTCTAGCTGCCTCTGAGGGAAGAGTCAATGGCGGGGAGGATTTCTTTCAGAAGGTGAGTGTGTAGTCTACTTTTGGCTTATGTTTTGCTTCGGCTTGTGTTCAGCCCGACTGAGGAGCGCTTTCTTTTAGTAAGAGGGCAGTTGTCAGGTGCTCATTCACCCGTTTCTAATTTCATATCAAAACAAATAAAAAACAAAAGGACTACGCTGACGTTAAACGCCTCCAGGACACCGACACCAAAACACAGCTGACACAACACTTGCAGTGTTTCTCACTTACATAACGTTCCGTGACTTGCTGGTGATGTTTAGAGCGGTGCTGAACACAGGTCCAATCACAACACGGGGATTGGTTTTATTTATTTATTAAGATTCAAATTTATTTCCTTTTTCTTTAATGTGGTTTCTTATGAATTGTACCTCTTCACAAATTTAGAACAGCGCCTTTAATAAATATTTTCTTATTATTTTTTTGAGGATTCTACGGTGATGTTTGCCATTTTTTTCCACACTATTAGAATTAGTAATATAGTAATATATTTTTTAACATTCTGCCTTTAGTATTTCCCAAAAATAGACACAAAAGATTTGTGATAGGTGGATTTTATTCACTCGAAAATCTGACCCAACTACTCATTTTTTTAATACTTTGTCTTGACAGAACCATAGTTGTTTTTGTTTGTTTGTTTGTTTTTGTTATCGGTCTTACAGTACGTAGGCCTTTTGCAATAAACAATAAGTCAATTAATCACATGATGAATGAAAATGATGAACCTCATTTTCATTTACCGGCTTTATCGTTTCTTCGTGTCTCTTTACTGAAGACACGGCTTTCTCTTTTCTCTTTAAAATCTGTTTTAACCGTCCAAAATTACGTTTTTGGATTGTTAAAAGCAGCTAAGCTGAGAAGTTAAGCTACGAGCTAAGCTAACAGGCCAACCTCAAATCAACATTTCTTCTAAAATTTGACAATTATTGTAAAATTTTAAACAATATTATCATTTATCGCAATCATTTCAGAGACAATTAATCGCCCAGCAAAATTTGTTATTGTGACAGGCCTAGTCTTAGGCTGGACTTTTCAAGCTTTCTGACGGCCTTTCTTGTAATAAATTTCTCTTCAATGATATAAGACCATAAGCTGCTTTTTAACTATCAACACCTTGAATATAGAGATAACACTGAAAATACCAGTTGGCCTAAATTTGAAAAAGTTCTGTCCAATATAACCCTTATTATTATTTGGGGAGTGGTGGCGCAGAGGTGGGCCTGTGATCCGAAGATCGCCGGTTCACGCCCCGGCCCCGACAACATCAAAATTGTGGGTGGGGTAGGTGAAACACCCACACTTGCCCCCACCCTCATTCGCCCCACTCTGGGCCCATGAGCAAGGCCCTTAACCCCCCCACCATGTGCTCCCTAAACAGGTCTCTCTTGAAAATGAGTTCTCGTGGCTCAATGAGACTACCTGTATAAATAAAGGCTAAATGAAAAAAAAATTGTTTTTGAGACATTTAATTCCACATGCAAGTTATCAAAGTTTTTTTTTTCTATTTGCATATATATATATATATATATATATATATATATAGTTTTGTCTATGACGAGGATTGCTAATTTACATTTGGTGTTTGTAAATTTACAGTGTTGCTATTGCCATATTAATGAAGATGATTTCTAAATTTCAGGGTTTTTTTGTATATTTGCACGTTTACCATATTTTTCGGATTATAAGGCACAATATCAATGAGAACTGGTCTGTTTTCATACATAAGGTGCACTGGATTATAAGGTACATTAAGTGAAACAAAACAGTCAAATAAGTCGAACTTTATTCAGCTCATTCACAATAACCACATAAATTTGGTTCGAGGTCAGTAATCACAATCCAAATTAATACATAAGGCTCACTGTCAATTTTTGAGAAAATTAAAGGATTTTAAGTGTGTCTTATAGACCAAAAATACGGTACTTCAGCTGCAGCATATTGATCTTGCTCAGTAATTGTAGTTTTTACTAATTAATATATTCAAGTCTTAGCGTTCCTTCAAGGAATATGCAATGTCCACTACCTCTGTTGCCAGAGTTTTAAATTAGAATCATATTTGGAAATAATTAAGTTGTTTCAGACCTTGAAAAAATGTTATTTGCAGTCTCATGCGATACTGCCAGATGTCTATCTCAGAATATGTGTTATGAAAGACTCTCAGTTACTACCATATTAAACTTTAGCTCAGTTTTATGTTAAATTTACTGGGTTGTTGAATTTTCTTGATTTTGGTGACCTTTTGTTAAAAAAAAAAACCACACTGTGTATTTAAATAATCTAAGACCACTCTGATCAAGTAGGTCTGAAACACAGTCACGTACTTCAGCATAAACAACAGATTCTGTATTATTAACGTTTGTGGTTTGTTTTAAAACTCTCAAGTAAATTATTTTTGTCATCCCTTATAAAATGTTAGGCTGTAATGAAATAAATGATGGATAGTGGTTTTGTTTTAGCATTCCTTTTTGTCCGTTTTCCGTATTTGGTTTTGGAGGTTAGTAAGTGGAGTTAAATGTCATAGAAAAAGATGCTTCAACTTTTCTTGACGCAGTCTTCAGCAACAGTAATGCAGACCAGGCGCCTCGAGATTCCCCTCGCTGGAATTTTAACAAGGACTTTTTAATGCACTGTGCTGTAACGTTGCCTTTTGGTTTGGATGTTTAAAATATTCCTAGTAGATGTTTGTGTCATTCTACAAAGCCATTCTGACAAGTTTCAAATGTCTGGATGTGGGTTTTTACATTCTTTTTATTATTTTAACATTGTCACTTCCAGTTCAAAGAAATTGTATTTAATATTAGTTGAATTCTCATTTTCACACAAAGATAAAGGAGGGGTGGTGGTGGTTTTGCCCATGTGTGTGTGTCTGTGCATATGTTCATTTGTTTGTATTGTTGGCAAAATATCTTCTAACCACTAGGGGTGTAAATCACCAGCTTTACCACGATATGATATTATATTGATTTGTGTGTATGACGATACGATATTTCTCTATCACAAAGTCTGTCACAATGCGATTTCGATTCTATTCGATTCACAAGTCTGCGATCGATATATTGCAATATCAAATGCCCACCTCATTTACATATAAATAAATTTACAAAAACAATTCAAATATGATTTAACCATTTTTTTTCTGTTATTACAGGCACCAGGCATTCAAATATATATTTTTTCTTAATTAATGAAAAAATAAATAAATAAATGACCTGTTCAGTATAGTCTCACATTTCTCATGTTTAAGTGCATTTTTTAAACCGGTTAACTTAAAAGTGCCCTGATTACTTTTCAGTTATAAAGAAACAAAAATAGATATTGAGCTTACATAACATGGCTATCAATGCCGTGTTTCTTCTTCAGGTGAACGGACAATTTTGTTTTGTTTCCCGAGTATTTTAACTCACACTGGCACCTGATACATACGACATGAGTTTTGTCTGTAGAGCCGTCCTTCTGTTGGAATCCAAAATATTTCCACAGTGTTGATTGTCACAACACTGAGAGTGAATTTCATAATCTGTGTTTTCTGCCTCGTCTGCCATGTTGCTGAGGCGGCCACAGAGCGCAGCCGCGCACGGAAATGGTGACACGGATGTGCCTTGGGAATTTCAAAATAAAAGCATATTTTAAAGATGACTATATGAATCGATGTTTTAGTTTTGCCACGATATAATTGAATCATTAATCATTTAATCAATATATCGATTTAAATAGATGTATTGTTACACCACTAATAACCGCTGAACTGCTTTTAATGAAACTTTCTAAAAGTAATCACCAAGTTCCCATCTGCAGCTGATTAGTAGATGTTGTAGTCAGCCAATTTTAAGATGGCCTCCACAGCCAGCAGACCTTATAAATGCTCCTGGAAGCACCTTGCAGATGTTGGACGCTGTCTACCATGATGCACTAAGCTTCATAAGTGGCTGTAACTACCATACCCATCACTGCTCCCTGTATTCACTGGTCGATTGGTCATCGTTAACTTCACGTAGACTCTCTCACTGGTACATTTTCATCTATAAATCACTTCTTGGCCTGTTGCCATCATATAGCTCATTCTACATGTCATGTCGTCAGTGCAGCTACAGCGTGCACTCTCAGGATATAATTACCTGCAGCGTCCCCTCGTGGACTGAATTCGGCAAAATCGCCTTCTCTTACTCTGCTCCTGTATCCTTGAACACCTTGCAAAAAGATCTGAAGCTCTCAACCTTAAACCTATTTAAGGGATTTTAAACAATTAAGTTTAATGCAAAAATCTATGTAGATATCCTGATGCATGCTCAATAAGATACGTAGATATGTTCCTATCTTTAGTGTTTTACCCTGTTTCGTAATGTCACTTGATTTTATTTTGTTTTATATAACTACTTTTATTTACTTTTCATTTCATATGCATATTATGGCTGTTTATTGTTGTGTATATCTTATTTGTAGGGTTGTTCAAAACAGGTCTCTCTTGAAAATGAGTCCTCGTGACTCAGTGAGGCTAACCTGTAAAAATAAAGGTTGAATGAATGATGTACAAAAATGTCAATCACTCAGACAATTTTACCGATATTGAGCTAAAAAATTGGTATGGTAGTTAATGAGTATCATTCTCAACACATACTGTGAGCGCAACACATGGAACAACATATTTTTTTTAAACCTTTGGATTAACTGTTGGGATCAACCCTGTTTGTCTGTTAGCAAAATATCTCATGAACATATACCAATGAAAGTCCCAAATTAGCTATTGGCTGTACATTTATAACTTATTGACTTTTGGAGTTAGTCAAACTCTAAATGACCACAACAGCTAATCAGCATTGGCCTTAACAATGGTTTCTATAACATAGAGTAGTGGATCCCAACCATGTCCTTGAGGAACGCCATCCTGCATGTTTTAGTTGTTTCCCTGTTCCAACACAACTGATTCAGTGATTTTATTATTTTCTGAAGTTCTGACAAAGCCTGTTAAGCATCCATTCATTCAAATCAGTTGTGTCAAAGCAGGGA